TGAGAACCAACTTTAAAATTTTTTTTTTGTAGTTGTAGATGGACAGAATTAACTGAATTTTATTTATTTTTATGTGATGCTAAGGATCAAACCCAGTGTCTCACATATGCTAGGCAACCACTCTGCCACTGAGCCTACAGCCCCAGCCCAGAACCAACTTTTTTGGGGGGGTACCGGGATTGAGCTCAGGGGCACTTGGCCAATGAGCCACACCCCCAGCCCTGTTTTGTATTTTATTTAGAGACAGGGTTTCATTGAGTTGCTTAGTGCCTTGCTTTTCCTGAGGTTGGCTTTGAACTCAGGATCCTCCTGTCTCAGCCTCCCATTATAGGCGTGTGCCACCGTGCCCAGCCCCAGAACCAACTTTTATTTCATAAGCCTCATCCTATTTGTAAGATTTTGTGTTAAATTTACATAACTTCCATTGTTGATACTAACCAACCAACAAGAAAAGAAATATAGATGGGACTTCATTTCCTTATTGCAAAAGCCTAAGTCTGTTCACATTTAGACTATAACATTACATGAAATATATGGTGTTCCCTTTTTCTTTTTCTTTTCTTTTTTCTTTTTTTTTTAATTAGGACATGCCATTCTAATACTCAGAATTAGTCTTTTGTTTGGTTTGGTACTGGGGATCAAACTCATGGGCATTTGATCACTGAGCTACATCCCCAGTCCTCTTTATTTTATTTTTTTCATTTTGATACAGGTTCTCATTAAGTTGTTCAGGTTGGCTTTGAACTTGCAAACCTCCTGCCTGACCCTCCCGGTTATTGGGATTATAGATGTGGGCCATCGCTCCCAGCCAGAATTAGATTTTTGCCCAGGATTTTTTTTTTTTTTTTTTGCTACCGTGGATTGAACCCAGGGATTCTTTACCACTGAACCACATCCCTAGCCCTTTATTACATTTTATTTAGAGACAGGTCTTACTGTTTTGCTTAGGGCCTTGAAATTCTTGAGGCTCGCTTTAAACTTTTGATCCTCCTGCCTCAGCCTCTCAAACTGATGGGATTATAGACATGTGCAAGGGTGCCCAGCTCAGAATCTGATTTTTCATAGTAATTAGTTCACAATTCTTAAACTAGCTTCTACAGTTTCCTTGTATCCATTTCAGCAGCTACAGATTCCATTTGTGCTTTTGTAGTCTGTGTTTTCTAAAACTGGAAACAGCTTATACATGCCTAAACTCTGGCCATCTGGTACCATTTTACCTGTATGCCGATCACGGCAAGCCCTGCTGGTAAGTGCTCTCATCCTGGAGTTGGTTGAGAGCTTGCGGCGCAGCCACTCCTGCTGCTCAAGTCCTTGGTGCAGTGACGGTGTGGGTGCAGGAGGTTGGGGAGTAGCCCTGTGACAGGAAAAGGGAGGAAAGCAGCAGATCAGAACACCAGGCCCCGTGCGCTCCAGAGCAGAGATTACCTAATCAAGGAGTCGCACTTCCTGCAGAAATGGTCCGACTCCTTTCCCCCACCTAGCTCCTTCCTTAGCCAGGGTTCGCTCCATGAAGAGTGGGACCTTGGCTACCATCTTGCTCAGGCGTAGGCTGGGGTGCTGTAGAAAACATGACCTCAGCTCAGAAGATGAGGCCAGCCTCAGGGGACACGCCTGGCAGCTGGGCAGCCAGTGCTCTGCGCATCAGCCCCACCACTGGAAACCCTCTCATGATGGAGCCGCTGAGGCTCAGATGGAAAAGAACTCATCCAAGTTCACAGAGTAGAAACCCGGATTCAACCCAAGGTCTTTCAGGCTATAGATTCCCTTCTCTATCTTTTTATTTATTTATTTATTTATTTTTCCCTTTTTTGTGGTGCTAGGGATGGACCTTACACATGCCAGGCAAACACAGCCACTGAGCTAGGGCCCAGCACCCCTCCAAACACTGTCTATCTATTTATACCTTTATTTTATGTATTTATTTTTTATATGTGGTGCTGGGATCAAACCCAGTGCCTCACACGTGCTAGGCAAGTGCTCCACCACTGAGCCACAATCCCAGTCCCTCCAAACACTTTTCTTAAGTGCATAACTTTAAAAGTTATCATTATTGTTTGTTTGTTTTGGTCACTAGGGGTACTTTTCTATTGATCTTGCTAACTTGCTGAGACTGGCTTGGGATCCTCCGCCTCAGCCTCCCAAGTGTCTGAGATTTCAGGCCTGCACCTTTGTGCCTGACTATTGTCTGAACTTTTTCACGTAGACATTTTCAAACAAATTTAGAGAAAACAATGTTACGAGCCCCCATGTCCCTGTGACCCAGCTTCACGGATGATGACGTTTTGCCATTCATTGTCTTGTGTCCACGTGTGCTTTTGGAGTCCTCAGTCTCTGGTGCTACGCGTGGTCATGTTCTGCTTCCTTGCTTTTGTGAAAAACCATACAAAGGACTCAAATCCCCTCCCCGCCCATCTTTTAAAACATGAACATAGAAGAGAACTGACATTTGTCAAGTGCCCAAAGCACCTTGGTTAGGGGATTTCAGTACAGCCTCCATAACCTAAAAAGCACCTGGTGAATTTGCCTTTTGTCTCCATCTTATGGATGAGTCTCAGAGGGAAGTCACTTACCAGGGTCACCCGGACAGTGAGGGCTACTTCTAGAGTTTTATCATAACTTGTTTCTTTAGTTTTTGTTTTTGTTTGGTTTTATTCTTTTTTCAACACAAAGTAAGTTGATAATAGTTTTAAAAACTGCACCTTCTGTATCCGTAGCTCACAGTTCCCCATCCCACCCGTCACTCCTGTGAGGTTTTGCTTTGTGAAACTCTTGGGGCCTCTCATATTGACAAGCCGTGACTCACACTGCTGTGGCTGCGGACCTCGCAGCAACAGTCATGAATGAAGTTTAACACCAGCAGACAGCTGGTGCTAAGTGATCCTCTCCTTCTTTCAAACCCAGAGTTTGGGGTTCTGGTGCTGGAGGTAAGCCCGGGGCTCCTGCATGCTAAGCAAGTGCTCTACCACTGAGGTACACCCTTAGAGATTAGTTTGTCTGGATCCTAATGATTAGTATCAAACTTCCGACTTTGTGTCTTACAAGCGTGCCTTGGTGAAAGAATTTATTTCTTTACGTATTTTGCAGTGCTGGGAGTCGAACTCAGAGCCTCACTCCTGCTAGGCAAGTGCTCTATCATGAGCTGCACCCCGCAGGCCCGTTCAAGGAATTTTAATTGAATGGAGAAAGAGCAAGGAGGAATCTAGGTATTGGCCTCTTTGGGGTACTCCACATGTCACAGGCAGGACTCTCAGTTTTGCTGCTTCTTCCTGGGTGTGGTGGCACAGGCCTGTAATGCCAGTGACTGGGGAGGCTGAGGCAGGAGGATCACAAGTTCAAGGCCAGCCCGGGCAACTTAGTGAGCCCCTGCGTCAAAAAAGGGGGTGGGGCTGGGGACTTTGCTGTGTGTTCGGCCCCAGATTCAGTGCCCTGGACTAAAACAAAGCAAAACCAGAAAACAAAGTTTTGGTTCTCGAGGAACAAGAAACTAAACATTTTCTCTCATATCTACAGCAAAAGAAAACTTGGCGCCTTGGAGGAAGCTCTTCCCCTCCTATTTGTGCAGCCAAATCGAGAGCCGATTCCTGGATGTCGCGCTGGGGAGAAGGGTGCAGGTCCCGGGCCACCTGCTCAGCTCCCAAGCTCGGGCTGGGCGCCCCGCTGGCCTCATCTAAGGTTATTAGTGTTGTTAGTGTTGGGCAAGTCCTTGCATCTCTGTCCCTCCCCTTCCCTGTGAGGACGGTGCTTGCCTTTCTCTTCACAAGGAGGCGCAACGGTGTGGGCTTGTCTGGAAAGTGCTCTTTGATTCTTGGCTGAGAGGTGATGAGTAAATGCACTTACCATAATGACGGGAGGGTGGAGGAGAAACCCAGCTCCTGGGAACACATCCGTGGGGACAGATGTCCCGAAAAGTGAGTGGTTCACGTCCTCGCCTTTTTTTTTTTTTTTTATTGTCAATGGACCTTATTATTTATTTCTATGCGGTGCTGAGAACCGAACCCAGGCCCCACACATGCCAGGCAGGCGCTGTACCCCTGAGCCCCAGCCCCTACGTCCTAGCCTCTTGATTTTCATAAAAAGCGTTGTTTCTAAAATTCTATTTAAATTGAAATAACCTGAAGCCAGATGTGGTGGCAAAAGCCTGTACTCTTAGCTACTTGGGAGGCTAAAGCAGGAGGATCACTAGTTTGAGGGCAGCCTCAGCAACTTAGAGACCCTGTCTCTAAATAAAATACAAAAATGGGCTGAGGATGTGGCTCAGTGGTTAAGCACCTCTGGGTTCAGTCCCAGTATAAAGATTAAAAAAAAAAATGGCCTGATATCAGGAAAGTGCCTAGAAATCATTGCTTTGAAAAGTAATATGGATTCAAGAGGCCACACCAACTGTATAACTATCTTTTCCTTTAAAAAAAAAAAAAAATCACAAAACAGACTCCTAAACACTAAAATACTGAGTTTTGCTGTATACCTGAGTTTACTGAAGAGATCATATTTCAATCTGTCCCTAAGGGTCATAGTTCTTTTTGGCTATTTTTACCACTTTTTTAAAAAAGTCCTACTGAAGTCACATTATTTCTCCCCTCAAAAAGCTGGATATTTGCCACGTGAGATAATGCTATGTGTCAATTTAGTTTGGGATTTTTTTCTTAGCAAAGATAGCTAAGACATTTTAAAATATTTATATTTGAAGATACACATGGAAATTCCTGGTGGAGCCTTTGACAGTGTTAAAGGCATTTGGATTTCATGAGTGTAGATGTGCATGCAGATTTATCTGTATGGGCGGGGGCAGGGGTATAGCTCAGTGGTAGAGCGCCCCTGGGTTCAATCCCCAGTACCAAAAAAAATAAATAAATAAAACAAATGAATAATGAAAATAACTTCCAGATAAGACAGAAAAACAATCAATCTGCTTGGGACTTATTTTACCCCTTCCTGTGTGTTTTTTGAGCATCTACTAAGTACCAACATATGGTTCCTATTTTTTTTTTAGAATCTTTCTGTGCTGTCCAGCTGGCCTTGAACTTCTGGACTCAAGCAGTCCTTCCACCCCAGCCTCCCAAGTAGCTGGGACCCAGCTGCAGGCCGCCATGTCCTGCCAAGACCAGGTTCTTCCCTGGGGTAGTTTGTAGCCTGTAGATGCTGAGACAGACAGAAGCCACAGTGCCGCATGGTGGGGACAGTGGAGGGTAGCTGTGGAATTGTGTGCCCAGGAGCGAAGCCCAGCTGCAAGGAGCAGCACCAAGCCCAGTTCTGAAGGTCAGGTGGAGGTGAGAGGCCAGTGGGCGTCCAGGCAGAGGGGTGGTCCAGCCGCGATCCGGAGGCCCCTGGGTGTGGGAGGCCATGAGCTCTCGGGTGAGCAGGGCATGTGGCGGGAGCCTGGGAATGCAGACTGGCCGAGAACCACGGAAGGACGTGGCTTTACCTTGACAGCCCGCGAGAGACCCTCGGCCTGGGGAAGGCAGGCGCCGCTGGGCCAGTATTTCAGTCTCATTCCTTTTTCAGGTATTTTTTTGGTTTTTTTACCAGCTGAACATAAAACTCAAACCTCCATTGCTTCTTCCTCCCCAGTTTCTCCTTCGCTGGCGTAGTCTGGAGAAGGCTGTCAGCTTTTGAACCTCAGCTCAACAAGATTTTGTGGTTGGAATGTAGCATGCCTGGAAGTGACTCACATAACCAAACTCTCAAGACTGATGAACAAACCTAAATGCACTGGGGTCAGGTGGTAGGGAGCGCTGGTGATCAAATCCAGGGTCTCATCCCCAGCCCCAGAAAGCAAAACTTCAACGTCCAGTGAGGGGTACTAAGGAGCCTGGATATTCGTATTTGTTGATATGAACATTCTCTTCCCAGAGGCTGATCTCTGTGGCAAGCTAAGTTCTGCACCTCGGTTCTTGGAGAGCATAAAATCAGAATAGAACTGGGTGAAGATAATGGCTGGTGACAGCAAGCTCTGGGAGCCGGAGGCACTTGTCTCCTCTGGAGGGATGGATCTACATTAAGGCTGGAGTGGAGCCTTTTACTGATACTGTGTGGACGGTTGTTTTAACCCATTCTGTTCTTTAGGCAGAGGGCAGCATAATTAGTTATGTGTAGATCTTTTTTATTTTAATCAATGTTCAAAATTGCATCTCAAAGATGGCACCAAGATTGGATGTTGGGTATTTATCGCATCACTTTCCAAATTGGCAAGACTGAGAATCAGTCATTTTATGATCTATTTACATGTTTTCAAGAATCTACACTTTGAGAAGCTCCCCTACGGTTCTGATATGGATTAGGTAGTGCCATTGAGCATTGTGCCATTTGGTTTCTCATGCATCCTTAATCTTTGCCTTTTTTTCTTTTTTAATACTGGGATTGAATCTGGGGCGCTTAACCACTGAGCCACATCCCAGCCCTTTTTATGTTTTGTTTTGAGACAGGGTAGGTCTCACTAAATTGCTCAGAGTCTAAGATGCTGAGGCTGGCTTTGAACTTGCAGTCCTCCTGAGCCACTGGGATTACAGGTGTGCACCTCCACAGCTGCCTGCTTATTTTATTCTTTACAATGAATTCAACATCTAGCAGCATCCTGGGGCTGCTTCTCTCCTCAGCCAGCCGGTTCCACGCCGTTTTCAGGCCCCCCTTCCTTCTGGCTTTGTGGTTCACTTGGGTTCTAATAAGTCATCATTTCTTAAATCAAATAGTATTGCTGACCACCTACTACGTGGTAGGCATCATTCTGAGCCAAGAAAAAGGGCAGCGCATATCAGATACTCCTGGATACCAGCGTGGAGACCTGCGGTAAAGGGGCAGGAAACCCAGGGCGTAGCGGACGTGTGCAGATCTGGTTATCCAGCAGACGCTTAAATATGCGCATCTGGAGTTTAGGGAGGAGACCTAGGCTGAAGACATAAATATGGATAATCTGAAAGCTAGAATTTAGAGGGTAAAATTCCAAGCTCTTGGCATAGCTAGAGTCCTCCGAGCACCGTTGTTTAACTCTGGACTTCAGGACACCTGTCATTGCCCTCCTGACGGTGGCCGTGCCCTCTGGTTGCTGAAGTGTTCACCTTACTAAGAACCATTGTGTGAAACTTGTTTTGGGGGTAGACTGTAGGGTTGATTTTGCAAATCCTCTTATAAGAGCATAACAGCGGAGCTTGAGGCTTCCAGGTGCTTAAAGGTGAAATTATTCTTCCCGGTCAGAAATGCGCAAAGCAGCAATCAATGGCCGCTGGAGGGCAACCAGTCTTTGGTAGCCATCAGAGTTAATGCCACCCATGGTTCACTTTAATAGGTTTTTACAGACAGTCTCATAGAATAGACTGCTCCTTTGAAAACTGCCCATATGCTTATTCTGACCTATGGAGATGCATAGAGAAGCTCAGAACTCATCAATCCGCACCTTGTTGGCTAAGACTTCCTGTCGTAACACATATTGTGTAATTTTCCTCCTATCTTCTCAGAGACGGTCTAAAACGGGTACTGCCAGGTCACCAATGAATCAGATTGGGGGGACTCTCCTTCACTACGCGCCCTTCCGTTCTGCAAGGTGTCCGCCATACCCCCATCCTCCTGCCATTCACAACGTGACTTTGACACTCCTCTGTGACGGTCTTGACCAGTGAGAGTGGTGAAGCGCTACCATGTGGTTTCTGAGGCAGAACTAGAACATACCACGCACTCTTGCCCCGTTCTTCCGGGGTGTCTACTTTTCCAACCCAGCGCCATGTTGTTAAGAAGCCCAGTTGGCCCCGCTGGAGAGACCCCAGGAGAAGCCAGTCGCAGAGGTTCCTGTTGACAGGCAAACAGCAGTTGTCACCAGCCACCAGCCAGAGTCCCAGCTACGGCCCAAGCCATGTGTTCCTATCCAAATTCCTGACCCACAATAAAACGGTTCTTTCCCACTAAGTTTTGGGGGTGATTTATTGTACAATAATAGTAATTGGAACAGTATCCTTGGATGTTGTAATAGATGGTAGTAACAGTATCCCCCCCTTTTGGGGAGGGACACTTGGGATTAAATTCAGTGGGACTTTACATTGGAGCTATACCCCCAGCTCTTATTGTGTGTGTGTGTGTGTGTAGGCTAAGCACATACTCCACCATAGACCTGCACCCCTGAACCCCCTCATGTATTAAAGGACAGGGCAACTATGTGTCTCTTTATTCCAGTTTAAAGATAAAATGAGATCATTTTCTCTTTGAAGAAATCCCCTAGAATATGGAATTGAAAAGTTGAGAAACATTTAAGAAATTTCAATCTTATTTTCTCTGAAGATGACAGAGTAGGAAAGTAAGATGTTCTGACATGAAGACATTAAGACGAATTAGAGGCTGGGCGCAGGGTATGCGCCTGTAGCGCTTATAATCCCAGAGGCTCAGGAGGCTGAGGCAGGAGGATCCCAAATTCAAGGCCAGCCTCAGCAACTTAGTGAGTTGTCTTTATCAAAATAAGAAGGACTGAAGATGTAGCTCAGTGGGAAAGAGCCCTTGGGCTCAATTCCCAGTACAGAAAAAGAAAGAAAGAAAGAAACTCAATGAGCACTTCCTTGTTTCTGGTATAATAGAAGAGATCAAGGAATTGGGTACAAACCAGGCCACAGGAAGAACACTGAGTCCCTTCAACTGTGTTCTTAGGTTATCTGAGTCCTGTTTCTGCTTCATCCCATGAGGACTGGTTCATAGGAGAATGCGTCAGTGTCGATCATAGCCCAGTAACTAGTTCTAAAGCTAGAATCTCCATGTAGAATTTTATGTATAGTTCCCACACTAGCTCACAGAAATGTTAATAATGTTAATAGGAGGCTTGTAAAGGGTTCAGTGGTTTAAAAGTGGCACATAAATAGAATCATTAGGGCCACTGCTTGAGTCCTCAGGCTCTCCACTAGATTGAATGTCCTGGGTGTGACTCTATAGGCAAAAATACCAAGGAGTGTTTTGCTGATCAAAAACTTTTTTGGCTGAGAAACTTGAAAGGTTTACTCTTCAATTCATTTTGTCACTTTGGTAGTTTGGCAAGTAAGTAAAGTAGGTAAATAATACCGCAGGCAGGTACTCCGTTCGATAAAAGTACTCTAGCTCAGAGGCTTTAGAGGCTGAGGCGGGAGGATCAAGTTCAAAGCCAGCCTCAGCAACTCAGTGAGTCCCTAAGCAACTCAGTGAGACCCTGAGCAGCTCAGTGAGACCCCGTCTCTAAATAAAATACAAAGCAGGGCTGGGATGTGGCTCAGTGTGCGAGTGCCCCCGTGCTCAATCCTCAGTACCAAAAAGCCCCCCGGTTCCTGGTGGAGAGGGAAGCAGGACGGGCCTCCTTTCCTCACCTTCTGGATTTCCTTGGATGAAAAAATTGTTCAAGAAAGTGGAATGAACAGTCATTAGACAAAACCCTAGAGAGAGATGTTTGAAGCCGTGGGGTGGGATGAAGACTTCCCGGTCATTCCACGCAGACCCATGAATTCTCTTTGATTATCAAAGGAAGATTGAGAACGTGTCAGCTGGACAAGCAGGCAAGGGCGTCCTCATTAGCTGTGCTCTGGGTCTCACAGTGCGTGCTAGTCTATAAAAAGAGCTGTCTATTTAAAAATAAATGTTTGATGAATGAACCCCACCTAGCTCACATGCTTGTCGTGAGGAGGCTGGCTGTTAACCTATTGCAGATGTAAGCTGAACTAAAGATGATAGGTATTATCCTAGCAGTTGGGAGGCTGAGGCAGGAAGATCTTGAGTTCAAAGTCAGCCTTGGCAAAAATGAGGTGCTAAGCAACTAATGAGACCCTGTCTCTAAATAAATTACAGAAAGAATAGGGCTGGGGATATGACTCAGAGGTCAAGTGCCCCTGAGTTCAATCTCTGGTTACCCCCCACCCAGAAAAAAAAATTCTATGTATTGTAAGTCCCAGCTCCCCCAGAGGATCACCTGAGCCCAACAGGGGTGCACGCCTGTAACCCCAGAGATGCAGAAGGCTGAGGCAGGGGAATTGCAAGTTCGAGACCAGCCTCAGCTGCCATCAGCTTAGTGAGACCTGAATCAAAAAATAAAAAGGGCTAGGGATAGAGCTCAGTAGTCAAGCCCTCTGTGGGTTCAATTCCTGGTACTGGGGAAAAAAACCAACCAGCCAACAAAAACCAAATATCCTCTGTATCCTGACTCTCCCCTTGGCGGAGACCAGAGCAGCTGGAGAGGAGAGAAAAGTCCCATTTACATACTGTGTGCTGAGCCGCCTTGACTTGTGGTCCATCTGAGGACCAGGGTCAGGCACTCAGGAGGCACAAGTGAAGAAAGAGAGATACCTACCACGGAGTGCAGGGGCTGAGAACCAGGCAAGGACCCTTATTGAAGCATGGTGTCTTTTTGTTGTTTTTGTTGGATTGAACCCAACAAGGGAGCTACATCCCAAGCCCTTTTTACTTTTTATTTTGAGGCAGGGTCTCCCTCAATTGCTGAAGCTGGCCTTGAACTTGCAGTCCTCCTGCTGCAGCCTCCCCAGTCACTGGGATTACAGGTGTGCGCCACCACACCCAGCTGTTTAGTTTGTTTGATGCTGTGCCACCAGCTTCTTGTACATAGTAGATGCTCGATAAATGTGGCTTTTGGCAAGGTTGAAATGGCCTTGATTTTTGCCCTTCGTCAACACATAGTTTAGGCTCTTAATTAACAACTGCCACTTGCAAACATAGATTTTTAAAATGTGCCTGTGGGAGCCAGTTTTAAAGAAAGTGGTATTAAAGACTGAGATCCTTTTTCTTTATTGTCATGAAGTGAAGTAATGAAAAACCGTCCGGGCCTCCGAAGAAGAGACACAGACGGCTAGCAAACATGAAAAGACGCTGAACGTTACCACTGGCGCAGGAAGGCAGCCCAAAACCAGAGCGGGGGCAGGCCTTCATAGCCCTGTGGCTCTGATCAGAAAAATGTAGGGAAACAACATGTGTCGGGGGTGCAGGGGGAGGAGCCGGACCCCCAGTCGTTGCTGGTGGGAATGCAGAATGGCTCAGCCGCTGGCAAAACCCACGGCAGCTCTCCAGAGGCTAGACAGCATCACACCATCTGATCCTGCCCTGCGGCTGGGAGGTAGAAACCCCGAAGGACTGAAAACCAGGTTCAAACAAATAACTTGTATAGGTTTGTTCACCAAAGCCAAAAGTCAGGCCAGGCACAGTGGCTCACCCTGTAATCCTGCAGTTTGGGAGGTCCAGGCAGGAGGATTGTGAGTTCAAAGCCAGCCTCAGCAACTTAGTGAGGCTCTAAGAAACTTGCTCTAAGAAATGAGGCTCTAAGAAATGAAAAAATTCATTTCAGCTGTGCTTGGTGGCCCACGCCTGTAAATCTCAATAACTTGGAAGACTGAGGCAGGAGGATCACAAGTTCTAGGCCAGCCTGGGCAATTTAGTGAGACCCTGTCCCAAGAAAAAAGTAGTAGAGCACTTGCCTAGCATGTCCAAGGCCCTGGGTTAAATCTCCATTACACAAAAATAAATCAATAATTTCATAATAACATATTACAATAAAGAAGCTGTAGTCTACTCACTTGGTTGGACTATATTTCTACTTATTTTAGTAATAAGTAAACATTTTCAAGCAGAATTTTATGTTGGAGGTGCTTTGGATTTCTGAGAACAAAGTTATTAGCTATCTGATTCAATTTTTTTTTTTTTACTAAATATTTTTAGTTGTAGTTGTGCATAATACCTGTATTTTATTTATTTATTTTTATGTGGTGCTAAGGATCAAACCCAGCGCCTCACATGTGCCAGCCAAGCGCTCTACCGCTGAACCACAGCCCCAGCCTAAATCTTTTTTTTACAATTGTTTTGATTGCTGTTAATAGTACCATTTACTGTGATGATTATAAGGTACCCTCTTCTATTGTTGGAATTTGTTTCCTTTACCTGGAATAAATATAGGTTTGAAATAACACAAATTTGCACTTCATAGAGGACGTGGAAAAATATAATAATTTCATTTCGATATTTTGTAAGTTAACGACTACCGTAGATGCGAGACATTTTACGTTTCAAGTTTTACATGAGACTTGATGGCATCTGGTAATGAGACTCCTGTCCTTAGGGTTGGGTCCCTCCTCTCCATATTAGAATTCCAAACGCATCACACCTGTTCAACCTGTAATGATTAGTAGTAGGTTTTCTTCTTTGGTGACCACCAAAAAATACCACCACCATCCACCCAACAAAACAAAGCCAACCCGATGAGCCTTCCCTCCTAGCAGCTCCTTCTGCACGCGCTCTCCGGCCGTGCTTCTGTGCCATGGAGGGAGGCTGAGACGGTGGACTTCAGGACAAGCTGTTCTCATGTTCCAGTTCTGCCCCTTGCATCTTGCCCGGGGGCCTGGCATCCAAAACTGGACACAGTTCTGACCCTGCCGTGGGCGGGTTATGGAGGCAGAAAGGTACCTGGTTGTTGAGAACTTAGTACAACGTGGGCAACAACAGAGGAAGCCAGGAGCAGGGCCCTCTGGTCAGACAGTCTAAAGATGAAGGCCTGGAGCTCTGGGTTCAAGTCTCATCTCTTTTTCAGTTAATAGCTATGTGACACCCGGTGAGTCCTTGGCCTTTCTATGTCTCATTTTACCCTCACAAATAAGGGGATATTAACCGTGTCTGCCTCGCAGGGTACTGGGAGCAGAGCCTCTAGAAGGGGTAGCTGTTATGATCTTCCATGAATTGGGTAGTCTACAGTTAAGAGAATGGGAGCCCGGGGGACATTGTTTCAAACGATCTCACCAAATCTGTTTTCCCACTGTGCTGGGGATTGAACCCAGGGATGCTCCACCACTAAGCTTTACTCCCGACCCTTCTTATGTTTTATTTTGAGACTTGCTAAGTCATTGAAGCTGGCCTCTCACTTGTGATCCTCCTGCCTCAGCCTCCCGAGTAGCTGGAATTACAGG